AAAAAAAAAAAAAAACGCAACACAACATATATATAAAAACTCTAAAATAAGCCTGCTTTGACTGGTTATATAATATTTTCAAGATGTCAATCATCAGGTTTTAATAGTAAGTATTGTGTTATCTTTTAGCTTTTAGCTTTTAAAGGTTAAAAAAATTACACATTGGCCTTTACACCTCAACAAGGGTGATGCCTGGTTTATTTATTTATTTATTTACCAAAAGCACCTGTGAAAATTATTTCTGAATCAATAAGTGTTCCACATCAAAGTACTTACGTTTGTGAAATCCTGCAAAACAAAAATTAAAATTGATAAGAAACAGTAATTCACCAAAAAGGTCATTCTATATCCATTATTAGGAATAATCATTACTGGCACTTTCTTTTTAGTAACCTGCTTGTGAAATGGATACAAGTATATAATTATCAATTTGTGTTATCACTGTACTAGAAACCTTAAGCAGTAGACCACATTCTTGGCATAGGCAAAGTATACATCATGTAGACCATAGCTTACAATAAATGATAAATAAATGCACACAAGGTTTACAAAATATATGTATAATGCATAACTGTCCTTAATGCAACATCTGCGTGTACACAGCTCTTGATGGGTAAATCACTTGTTATAGCTATATACTGTCTCTCCATGCAGCTACTGTCACTGCATGCATCTGTTATGACCAACTTTACACAGTTTACAGGACAATCATTTCCTCTGAACATAACATTTTCTTCTTACTTCCTCCAAAACATAGCATTACATATCCCGCAATTGGTTACTGAGAGTTCAGTTATTTGAGATATTTTACTTCAAGATGCAGTGTGTGTGTGTGTGTATGTGTGTGTGTGTGTGTGTGTGTGTGTGTGTGTGTGTGAGAGAGAGAGAGAGAGAGAGAGAGCACTCACTGGTTTCTTGGCCAGCTGAGGGTTGGTCAACAGTATCTTGGCCATGGGATGATAGTCACACTTAGAGGACAGCATCATCCACTCTCTCTCCACATCTGTCAGCTGTAATGTTATAAGGAATATCAGTTTTCATTCCCAGTTTCCACAAGATTTAGACATTATTACATTTCATATAATCCCATTTTCCACATTTTCTCTACTGTCAATATATATCTACTGATCAGCTATTAAAATATACATCATTTATTGTTTTCTTTCTGTTTTTTTTTTTTCAGATTGAATAACTTTAATGTTCTATTTTTTTTCTATAATTTTTACCACATCGCTAAGTTGAAAAATCAATGCAAAATGTTTGGGCTTTTTCCTAATTTGCAAGCCATTTAATTTCAGCTCACTTTCTATATGTTTCAATACAAGCCTGCTAAATGTCCTCTATGCTTCAGCAAGAATCTGCATAAATGCCCCCCACCCCCCACACCCCCAATGTGCGACACAGAACAACAAATTAATCAGATTCAGCAGCTACCGTTTTTATGCAATTTGTTTATCTCTGAATGCTGATATGTTGTGTTCAGAAAACAGGTAACATTTTGTGTTCTGTCTCCCTGATTGCAAATGTCACATCATCTGGTCATCACATATTTTATTTCCTGTCAGCTCCTTTTTTTCTCAATAAAGTTCTTCATTGTATTTTGGCAGAAAAGCGCGACTGTTCTCAGCATAGTGATAGTCACAACAAGTGTGCTTACTTACATGTCTGAGGGAGTAGTGTAAAAAAACTTTACTTTTAGACCATGTGGGAAAAGCAAATCAAGGAATGCCTGCATTCTGTTAATAGCAATATTACCTGCACATATATGTCTTAAATGTCTGGGACAGTAAAAAATGCTCAAAAATGATTTTTATATTCAGACCATAAAAATCCTTCTATTTTAATACAGTATATACCAGTGGAAGTCCACTTAAACAATTTGTTACCAAACCTTATTTAACCAGGGGCGGATCCAAAGATATTTTATGACAGTCTTCCAAATTATCTTTGTTAATCCATCCTCCATTTTTTGACCGTCTTCCGACAGAAAATATTAGATACCCGCCAATGTAAACATGAAAATCTGACCGTCTTCCGGAACACCCAGAAGACGCCCTAAATCCGCCCCTGTTAACAGTAAGGAATATACTGTCAGATATATATTAATATTTCCTTGCAGAAGATTAGATATTACTTACTATATCTTAAAGGGAGGTACATTTTCTGGGTCATAAATATGAATTACGAGGCAATTTTCCAAGCAATAAAATCCTAGATTGAACTAGAGTTCAGGAGCAGTATTGTAGTAATATATATATGGTGCACAATAACAGTAAGGCAAGTATTATGTGGTGTGTTAGAAGACAGGCCTGTACTTACAGTGACAGATGCCGTGGAGGAATCATCATCATCATGGGCAGCCTGAAATCACAAGAAAAGATAGTTAAAATATAAAATCAAAACAATGAAGACCCATATCATTTAAGAAAAAAACCTTCCCAAACTCAGGATAACAAATTATATTTTTTATGAATATTTCCTATCAAGACTATACCATAGTACCTTACTGAAAGCTTTGGAGAGTCTCTTATCCAAGTTTGTTAAAGACGGAACACGCATGATAACATTGTCTTCAGTAGCCATATTTCACCAGCAGCAGACGCCCTTTTCCATCATATAACAGAACATAAACCACGCTTCAGATCCTTTATCTTCCTACGCAAAACATGAAGGTTACACGAGGAGGGGAAAAACCACAATCCTTGTACTAAAGTTGGCAACCAGCTTGCACCCACCCCACTCAGAGCAGCAGCAAAAACCAAAATGTTATTCCACAACACGTAATCTGCTCCTTTCAGGCAGCCGAGTATTAAATTGCTAAATTATGCACAACCGTTTGGACATAGGTTATTTATGGCTGTACTGTTAGAGATAATGTCACTTAGATAATGCCCAATGCAATAAAAAAGGGCCCAGGTAAACACATTCTTTGTACTGTTATCAATTTCAATTTCAGCACGGAAGGGAGAAAAAGAAGAAATTCCAGACGAGATTTCTTACCATGATAGAACAGATGTTTTTATGCAGGAATCTCAGCATGTACGTTTTGTGCAATCTGCTCTTTGCTACTCCAGACATTTTTTTTTATTTGGGGGGGGGGGGGGCAAAGAAAACATACATAATATTGCCTCAGCAATCTTACTTTTATCAATAATTTATAAGACCTTTGTAAAAACAAGGTACATCTTACAGTGTGTGTGTAAATAGGAGTTTTTTAGCAAGAATTTTCAACAATAATATCATTTTTATCTATCAACATGACTTCATCAAACATATTCAAGTTACATGGATAAAATAACAACCTCTTAAATTGCATGCCAATTCCAAAATCAGGCATATCAACCTTTGTGATCTTTGCCCTATCAACTCTCTCTGACATGAGAGTCATCAATCATCTTGACCTGTAAACTATTAATCCTCCGTGACCTGTCAGTACTTGATGGGGAAGACAGCAGAACAGGTATTTTACCTGCACAGGTGTTATTTTGCCAAAACAACAGTTGATTGTGCAGGGGGGGGGGGAGGGGAGGGGGTAATTTGGTCACTTTTTAGCAAAATAACTCAAATTTAATCAAATTAATAAATGTTTTTGCCAAATCATAAAAAGGTATGAAAAATTTCTACATTTTCTAAATATTTGTGAAGAAACACTGTAATACTATTACACATCAACAGCTTTACACTAATCTTTTCAATCCAATCCATTAATTACATCAGACTTTTTCTTACAGTCAACTATTTATTCACAATCAATTACTGCACTGAATTCAATGTATACAGTTAAATTATGTCAGGTGACCGTTTTCTCATCTAAAAAAAAAACAAAAGAAAACTTCTGCCTATTATCACTTATCTTCACCAACTAAACAACCTACCTTAGGTTTAGGATCTCTTTTCCTAAGTTGTACTCTTTGCAGTTCTGTCTCAGACTGAATCTTGTTAAGATGTTTGGCTCTCTCCTTTACGCTCATCACTTCTTTTTCCTCTGTGACCTCTCCTGCCTTGTTAGGGCCCTGGGAAGATGGAAGAATATGTTGGTTATTGTGTAGTAATTTATGTGATTTCCCAATTATATGTGTATATAATTCATCACACAAGGTCTGGTGTATAATATGAGTCATCATTTTGCAGGTGAAATAGTGATATTGTATAATTCTATCTGTCTTGTCTTCTTCCCTCTTTCCATACCTTCTACTCTTTCTCCCTCTCCTGCTTCTGCCTACTGCCTCTCTCTCTCATTCTCTCTCTCTCTCATCAAATAACAACTTGTATTCAAACTTGCAACTGATACTAGTTATAAGAATAATAATAATAATAGTCAATCCCCACACTTATCACAAGTATCATACCTCAATCCATCACAACAAGCTCTTCTTTACTATTCCAGAACACAATTAACAAAAACAAATCAAACCTTAAAATGAGTTGATCAAACCCAATATCACCTGAACTACTGATTTGTCTTCCCCATTTATACAAATACTAGCAATCAAATCACCTGAATGACTCCTTGAATCCTGACTTAATCCAACTCCTTACACACTCTAAAACCTTGTTTCTACACTTTTCATGAGGATACTTTAACCTGTGACGGGTGGGACTTACACTGGATTATTAAACACTAAATCACTCACACACACCTAAAGTTCAACCTTTTTTATCCACACAATCTTATTATTTATAAGCTTTGATAACCTAGACTTCAAGATCAAATGGTTCAATTCTCTTTAACCAAGCCTTCAACAATAAAGTCAAAGTGGGTCTGAAACCAAGCAAAACATAAAAACCAGCTCCATCAATGTGGGGAGACTAAGGTGATGGCAATGCATACAAACACTATACTAAAAAGCCCACTTCAGCGCAGTATTTCAATGTGTATAATTGTACACAACTGCACTTCTTTGTTTATACTATATTACTAATATAAAAATGTTATGTAGTAAGTCACATAAGAGGTAAAAAAATTAATTTAATAGTGCATTAAGAAGTAGCAAAAATACCAATCCAATGCTGGATTGCTGATTTATTACTTAATATTTATTTTTTCCTTTTATGAGATATCACGCTATCGGATGAATCAGAACATTTACTAGCAGTCTCATTAACATTAAGCCTACATTACTCTCTTCAATGTCTCTCAACGTAAAACCAGAGAATTTTAAAAAGTCATACAATCTAACCAGAACATACCTTTAATTCAACCTTTTTTTATCCACACAATCTTATTTACAAGCTTAGATAACCTCCACTTCAAAAACATAAACAGTTAGCAAAAAGAGGTCCACAACCACCTCACAGCACTGCTCCTCTCTCAATCTAAAATCATCTGAGGAGACTGACAATAGTAATGAGAAAATATTACACAATGATTCCTCCTCTCCTGTCTTCAGGCTCTTAACAGGGATCAGGTTAATGTACAAAGGGTTCTTTTCTGATAAAAAATACACAAAAGATAACACTCTGGGTCTGACCTTGAAGAACAGGTACACCTTCAAGTAGAATAAAACATAAAACAGGTGGGGGAGATTGGAAAATAATCAACAAATATTGCACAATGATGTGACCTTAATCTATGTGGAAATGAGTGTGCTTATGAATGAAGGGTTTTTTCTTGATCAGGAAGCTAAATAGAGCAACCTATAATGCCCTCTTCCTAGGTTTTTTTGTGTGTATTTGGTTTGTTTGTGTATTTGTGGGCACAAGATCTCAGTAAGTTTTACACAAAGTTTGATGAAATTTTCATGAGAGCCATTAATTCATTCTAACTGAATCAAGGCCTTGGGTTTCTAGAATTTTTTTATGATAATTTTATTTTCTAATTTACATTTTTTTTTTCGGATTGTATCCACCATTAGATGAAAATGGTACTTCTGAATGGTAAAATAATGAAAAAATAAGTGCAAAATGATTGTAGCTCAAGGTCTCTTAAAATGAGGTTAATGCAAAGCCGTCCTTTGATGATGAATAAAAAAAAAGTCCAATGTCAAGGTAAATGTGCTTGGCTCACCAATAAAAACCTGACCTTTTAGTCTTAATTGCAAGTTAGAAAGTGTGTGTGCCCCCTTCTCCTCCAACAGCATTATAGGCCCATTTGGATTGCCTGATAACAGCTAATTTAACAAAAACTCAAAGCAATTAAAAATAAATTGTATGCTAAGCCAGGTAAACATGAACTTTGTAGTATATTATGTTGTGGAGTTGTGCAAGTCAACAACAACATGTTTTCTTTTAATACTGTATTCTTCTTTTCTTTTTTTTTTTTTTTAGCAAATTTCATCATGTGTGTTACACATCAGTCATACACCCCATTCTCATAGATTAGATCGACCTACATTGGATCGACCTAACTCCCTGGGGGTTCACGCTAAATAGCTGTCAGCCGGGCAGACACGAAAGTTAATTACCCCTTAAAGCTTGTAGTAGGCGGGGACGGACACTTAAGGGGGATTATCTGACAGTAATCTAGTGAGACTCCCCGCGGTGATAGATCGATCTAAAAGTTGTGAGAACAGAGCCATACTGTCACATTGATAGGTTCTTCTAAAATCACACTTATTCTTCTTTAAAATTTGGTTATGTCCAGTGGCCTGCTTTAAATGTGTGCGTGTAAGTGTGTGCAATTGTTTGTACACGTACCTGCATGTACAGGTGTATGGGTGCATGTTTATACACATAATACACAGTGCAGAGCTATCAGTAATGTACTTATGTATATTTAAGAATCAATGATATATCATCATTATTATTCTTCACATTATTTTCATCATCATAATAGTATTATCAACACTACCCCAGTAATTTTTCCAACAGATAATCATTTTAGTGCTGCTGCTGCTTCCAGTGACCATTACATGAACCAAATTTGGCACTAAATTATAACTTAGAAAGAGATTATTGCATGCCTTGAATACCTACAATAAACCTTCCAGTAGTCACATTTTATCAGGTAGATTTCAGAGGGGAAAAAAAGTTTATGCGTCATCTTTTAGAGGTGGACATGAAAATACAGATAATTTAAAGTAATGTAGATAACTTAAAGAAGTCATGTTCTGACTGATAAAAATCCATATAAACAATGTCAAGACTAAACAGTACTAGTAAATGCCTCCAAGTTTTTACTTCCTTTTTTCTATTATTTTGACAACTGTCAATCAAATGCAGAAAATTCTCATAACAAAAATTCAAAACTGCTATTTGTCATACTCACCTTATAAATATTATACATTTTTGAAGGTATGTCTCCCATGATGCCAATGAATACACTTTCCCAGCCACACAATAAATGTATATATAATCCTACAATCTCTAAATCCACAGAATAATCCTGGTTCTCAAAAAATCTCTTCACTCCCTTAAATGATCACAAAATGTATTGACATCTGACACCATAAAAAAAAACGCAATGATACAATTTTTTTCTCATAATCATCTGGTTTCTCACAAGTGGAAGTGATCTTGAGATGTCATCAATTTGCACACTACAGACAAAAAAATGAAACCATGTACATTTGTACATTGAAGGAGAAATAAAAGAAGATAATCTGGTGAAGTGTTGATGTTTCTCCACAGCATGTGTTAAAGGCAGCAGCTGGGTGCTAGACCTCTGCATAAGTCACCATAATGTCACAGCTGTAAAATGTCACGCTGACACCATACCAATAATCTGTCACTGTGCTGATGTGACAAAGTGGACAGCTAAGATGTCAGTGACAAATGCCTGTGGCACGTTCTGGAGATTTTTTAAGTTCAAGGTACCAAGTCCATCTCATTTGGTCACTATGAAATATTACAGCAGTTGGTGTGTGTCAAACAGTGACACTATGGACAGTCAGAATACCACTGACAGCCTGTGACATTACTTGGTCACTGTCAAGTATTACAGAAGTGTCTATATGTCACTGCATGTATTGGGTCACCACTTCAATATAACAAGTACATTCAAGACTAATGACATGAAATCTGTAATTTTTAACCACAGTATGTCAATTCAAGTATGTCACCACGTATACGATAAAAAGTGACAAAACTTTTGTGAGGATGTGACAGTCACGTCACTGACACATCAATAACAAGTCACAACCCCAGCATTATATAACAGCTGTAGTGTCACTAAATCAGCCTGTGAACAGTCAAGATAAGTTATG